GGTTCAGATTTGAATCATGCATGTTCTTCAATCGAAAGAATTAACTATTTCCTGAAGCATTTCTTTCTTTGTTTTGCATCCAGCATGGAATCATGCACTTCTGTGGTGTCAAAGTCCTTGAACCTCACATCTGTTATGCTCCAGAGAATGTCTCTGAGGAGAAGAGGAAGGAGATGCTGACTGGCTGGACCCAGCGTCTGAAGACTCTTTGGAAGGAAGAACCCATCAACTGCTCTCCTGAGTGGTATTTCAAGTAGTGTTCAGGTACAAGACTACAGAGAGAAGATCGTTTTTCTCCATTCTTTTAGATGCTCTATCTAAATACCTGAATGCTAATCTCCTAATTCAAATGTCTTTTAAGAATCTGGAAGACAGCAGCTAGCAGTTTAACTGAAAATATAGCATTTATCTCCATTGATTCCTGAGGGATTCTCATTAAGGATGGGTGCAAAACTCTTTATGAAGCTCTGCTTGCTCACATAAACAGTGATATTATCCTGCCTAAGTGTGATTGGTAAGACATGTGGTATTTAATGGGAGATTATACCATTGCTGCCTGTGAAACTGTAAAGTACATGGCCAAGGTTATTTTAACGCTGTTTGTACCAGCTGCCACTTTTTTTAATTGTCCAGGGAATATGCTGCCCTTACTCACACTTGTCGTTTAAAAGAGGAGGAGTGGCCATGAGGGCTCTACCTTGTGCCTTTGAGCTATGAAGCCAGATCATCAGCAGTGCAAAAGGATGTACAGTTGCACAGTGACTTTGACAGCTGGAAAGCCTTGTGGGTAGCCTTGTGCTTTTCCACATATTCACAAAGCAATGTTAAAGCTACAACACCTACCAAAAAAGGGGGAAAACAAATACAAATATTGTACAGTGGTATGTGCATGAATTGCCTTCCTTTGTAGACTGCACCTCCCATTTGTAAACTAAGTAGCTTCCTAAAATCAAAGGGACCTCTCTATTTTGGTTGCCCTCAGGGGAGACAAAAAGGAATCCTGGGTGCTTCCTGCCCCTTCACACCAGTCATGGTTGGTGTTTGCATCCCCTCCACCATCAGAGTCAATGGCTTCCTTGGAGATCTCCAGCACTGGCAGCTGGCAAGGCAGGATGCCGACCTGAAAACCTGCAGGAGCACTGTCTGTCTATGGGTCAGGATCTGGTGGGACAAAAGGACTGTCTGGCTCTTAACATCCGTGATTTTTACCTTGAATTGTAGCAGGATTATTTTTGAGAGCTGTTAACCCTGTTGGTTCATATGGCAAGGGGCAGGTTTCTCACTTAGCTACCCGACTTCTTGCTTTGACCAGCTCACCTAACAGCTGGCTTTGCACTCTGGTATTAAAAGAAAGTGGCCCAAATAAGGAACGGTCTCCTGAGTCACTGCCAAATGACACTTAGGCCTCTGCATACAGCTTGTGCATTCGCCATTCCTTCTTTTGCCAGTCTTGTCACACCCCAGCCTCACAGTTCTTTAAGGGCTATTTGGATAATAAACATGCTGAGCCCAGACTCTGCACTGACAGTGTAAGCTGATACACCAGACTGGGAAGTGCTACCGCAGGGAAAGAGTCACATGTTCCTGTTCCGTCTGGTATGAAATGAAGGGCCACCTCCTGCGGAGACATTCCCTGGGAAGCAGTGCTGCCCTGAGCTGTTGTAGGTGTCTGCTTCAGGGTGTGTGAGAGACACCCTGTCTTTAGGTTACACAAGGGTGCTGCTCTTGCAATTCTTTGGAAGCCAGTCAAGTGTGCAGTGACAGTGAGTGCTGTGCCAAGAGTTACTGTCCTTGTTCTGACATGCTTTCAGTGCCTGCTAGGCAACACACTGCGCTGGGGTGCATGTGTGTTCTAACACATGGCTTTGCAAAACTCAAAGGAGAATTTTACCACATGAAGGAACAACAGTGAGTGGTCTGTGGTTAATAAGGAGAGAGATATTAAGTAGCAGTATTACTTTCTTAGGAGTACTGGAAATGTTACAGCCATTTTGAATTAAGAATGATTGTCCTGCTAAATCACATTATGGTATAAGTAAAATGTCATCCTGCCAAAACAGCATTGATTTCACCAGAATGAAACTAGAATTAGGTGAGTAACTTGTACCTGTGTTTCAAGCTGGGGAGAAGGATATAAGGGCAACATGCTTTTCTCTCCCATTTAGTCTGGGGATTTTTATTTTTTTTTGTCAGTAGTGCTTCTCTCCCACAGATGTCTAGGCAATGCTCTGGTCTTCTTCTCTGACAATTTTTTCCAGAAATCATAACTGAATTTCTTTTATTTGATGTTCTGAAATGGCAGGTCAAACATGCTTGCAACTTCAGAAAAACACAGGGAAACAAACAGATCCTCATCTTAACTGTGTTACCAAGAAGCCTCAGAGCCTAGAGAAATCAAAACTGATTTCTTGCAGGTCTACAAAAAACCTAACATTTAAAGGCAGGTATAGGTAGTTCATTCTGTGGCTTTAATATTTGATTACTGGAACAATGTCGCTGAGGTGAGCTGCCTGCTTGCAGAGGAATGTACTTTTTAATAGACTAGTTATCGAAAGGTTGTGCTGAAGAGAGGAACAGCCAATAACAGACACCATGCATAATGGAAGTACTGCTTATTTTTTCTTTCTTTTTTTTTTAAGAAAAATCCTTCTATGTTAGATATTCTAAAGCCTAAAGAGTCTATGCCACACAGAAGGATGCAAAGAATTTAAGCTGAGGTTGCACTCAACTTAGTGCTGGATAATTGTCTCATCATTCTAAGAGTATTAAAATACTCAGTTAAAGCAGCTTGAATGCACAGGAATTCTGATCTGTTTGGAAAATGCAGGAAGGAGACAGAAGACCAGTTTCTTCCCTAGGACTGTGCAGCCAGAATATCCCATAGCTGTTTCTCAATTGAAACTGATGAAATGAGAAAGCATTTTGTTAATATCCCACAGAATAAACCAAGACCTAACCAGCTTGTCCACACAACAGATTGCCACACCTGAAAATGCTATTGTACCCCAGTGAGATATGCAGAGCAAAGGTGGTTCTTTACTGGAACTTAATAAGAAGCCAAGAGGAAACAAAATCCTCTCAATATACTCTACATGTACACCCTTGTATTTCTGTCACCTGTTGCTAGGCCACAGCTCAGCATCTAGGGGAGACCTCAAGTGGTTGTCTTCCGAACTTAACGGCAGTGAAAATTTGTGGCAATTGTGAAAATTGAAAATTGAAATTCTGAAAAAGTGAAAATTGGGTGTGGAGCCCAGAATTAATGTTTCAGCATTGAGTCATGGGAATCTTCCCTATGAGAGAATACTCATCCCTGCTGGACCAGGCAGAGCTGGGCCAGAGAGGGACTGCCACAGCATGCTTATGCTTAGGTCCCTACAGAATTTGTGATTCATCGGAGACATGGAGAGGGATAAGCCTCTAAAGAGACACATGGCAGCAAACTACAGACGGAGAGGAAGAAGCAGAAAAAATTCAAAACTCTGCTGCGAAAACTTACTACTACAACACAGCCTTTAAAGTTCACACCAGGAAAATATATGCAAAGTCACCTTCCCATTATGACACAAGCTTACTGTGGTTGGATTTTACTTAAGATTAAGGAGAAAAGTAACCATTCCAGGCAACCTTGGTCTAGCACTGTGGAGGTTTGGTGCTTTTTATTCATCAGCCCCTACAATTTTTCCAGTGGTTCAATGAAACCTGCAAATTTCACACACAGCAATTTTCATCCTCCTGGCAAAAAAAACAGCTACATGTCAAACATGTGACCTCTAAACACCAACAAATAAATGCCAATCTATGTATTTTTTTTTCTTTTTTGCCTAGTTTTGCTACTTGGCAAAACACCAGTGAATGAGAATGCAAACTTTTTAACCACATGATTCTTAAGAATTCAGCCATCTTTCTCCCTTGCCTTCAGCCCATACTTTCAGCCCCATACACAATGCAAAGCTCAAAAGCAGAAAAACCAAACGAAACCAAAACAAGAAAAAAAAACCCTCAGAAGTTAAATGTTATCAAAAGATTTCTGTAATATTTGGGACTGAAGGAGAAGACCAAAACTGCATGATTGGCCCACCAGAGATACCACATCCATATCTGCATTTGATTTATTTAGCTGACAAATGTCCCAGAGTCTCCGGACTGCAGGTTCAGTAACACTGTCCTTGTGATACTTCACAAGGTGGATGGACACAAAATGTCTATATACAAACTGCAGTGAGCTTAGTTTGGCAATTTAGGATTTCGTCCTGAGTCTCCCCATTACAGCAGGTGTGATCAGCCCTTGCATCTGGAGCTGTCAGAGCATAAAATTCCGGTTTAGTCTCAATAGCAGCTGATCAAGAATCAGTGGAAAACAGGGATGGGCACGCACTAGTTCCACTGCTCCCGCTAGAAGAGCAGATATGGGTACGTGGGTTGTTTAGGAATTCACACACTACGTTGCTGACCACCACAGGGAGAAATGAAGATCGAGTTCTGTACCTGGAGAAGACCAGAGAACCAAAAAAAAAAAAATAACCCCACAGATGCTGTAGGTGTCACTTGCGGTCACAGCAGCGGGGACGCGCACCCCGCCGTGCGCGGACTGGAGCGGAACCGCGGGCCGCGGCGGCCCGATCCCGATCCCGCCCCGGCTGCGTTGCCCCAGGGCCCGGGGCAGGCCGGTCCGCCGGGAAGAGCCGCTCCCAGCCCCCCCGCAGATGTGCCGCCGGGCCCCGGGGAGCACGGTGAGGGCACCCCGGCTTGCTCTGGGGCCGGGGATCCGGGGGCCGCTTCCCAAAAGCGCTTCCAGAGGCGGCACGAAGACCGGGAGCGGCGCGATGGCCCCGGCGCGCCCCGGCCGAGGCGGCCGTGCCGCGGCCGTCCAGCGCCGGGCCAGCGGCCGGAGGCGAATTCCAGGGCCAGGGCCGAAAACCAGAGGCACCCTTCCCGCTCCCAGGGAACGCTGACGGCCCGGCCCATCCCGGCAGGTCGTGCTTGGCCAGTGCCAGCCTGTGCGTGAATGTGTGTGCAAACACACACACCGGTACATTTCCCACTGCAACAGCGGTTCTCCTCGCACCTATTCCTGGTGTTTCTCACTAGCACGTCTCTCCTTTGAGTTCTCAGGCCATACCAGATTCTCAGGAGAGAAGCTCTCCAGTGCTCCCGGACAATGGCAGGTAAGAGCAAATGCGAATAAAAATGCTGCTCACTCCAGGCCTGGGCAAAGGACACCTCAGGGATGGGGCCTCGCTGCCGTGTTTAGTTGTGACTTTGAGGTCTTACTTTTTCAAACCACTGAAATTACTTCAGTAAGTCATCATCATCATGGCTGGGCTTCGCAAACAAAGATTTAGGAAGACTCTATCCACATTTGTTACAAGCACGCTGGTGGCTAATGAGGCCAACACGAGATAGAACATATCCGATTGCAAAAGGCACAGCAGAAAGACTCCTTAGGTGGTATATTCTGCAAGACACAGTTCCTTCTGTGTTGTCTTTTCTCCTCAAGAGTGATCCTGCGTGTGTTCTCAAAGGCATCAGCAGCGTTATAGATGGTGTGTCTCCAGGCCTCCTGATTTGAGGCCAGAGTAGACCAGTTATGATGATCAATATGGCCAAGGCTGAGATGTTGTTTCAGGGAGTCCTTGTATCTTTTCTTCGGGGCTCCTCTCATGCGGCAGCCAGTGGCAAGTTCACCATAAAGCAGGATCTTAGGGAGGCGGTGGTCCTTCATCCTGGAGACGTGCCCTGCCCATCGCAGCTGTGTTCTCATCAACATGGCCTCAATATTTGTGACTGCAGCTTGCTCTAGAACAGATGTATTAGTCACATAATCTGACCAGTGGATGTTTAGGATTGTACGGAGACAGCGTTGATGGAAGCGTTCTAGGAGACGCAGGTGGTGGCGGTAAATGATCCATGATTCGGAACCGTATAAGAGAGTAAACAGCACAATGGCGCTCTGATTGGCCAATGGTGATATGGGGATGATGGAAGACTTCCTGAGGTGCAGGTTGATAGAGAAATTCTGTCTTCTTTAAGCTGACTTCCAGCCCAAAGAGCTCAGCAGCATCTGCAAAGCAGGATGTTAAACGCTGCAGAGCTGCTTCTGTGTGGGCGACAAGGGCAGCGTCATCAGCATAAAGCAGCTCCCAGACCAGATGATTTAAGGACTTAGTGTGGGCCTTCAGTTGCCTTAGGTAAGTGATCACTTCAGTAAGTGATGCCTTGGAAAACTCCAGTCTCCCCAAACAATGTGTCCAAGCGCCCATCGCTCCAGCAAAAGGAAAACAATCTGTCAGCTTGGCAGAATTAATCTTACCCCCTCTTGGAAACTTTGGCATCTCCAGGTACTGAGCTCCCTTTTTGCTGAGAGCCAGCAGAAACAGCAAAGCAGCAAAGAGGTCACTGCTCCTGATGTTCCAGACTAAGCTGTGGAGCAAGAGTTTTCAGAGTTTATACATGCCTTGAATTCATGGTAGCATTTGACCTGCATTTTATTAATGTCTTTTGCAAAGCTCTTGTTTCATGGGCACTGTGCTCACTAGAGTAAGAGTCACTACTTGTAAATTAGGTTAAAATGAGCTGTTGTCTCTTCAAACATTCAGCTCGGGTTCTATTAGTTATCCCTAACTGCCTAAACTTGCCTGTCACTTAGCAGGTGGTGCTCTGGGATGTACATCAGGAGCTGTGTCATGGAGAAACTGAGCTTACGAGATGCCTGAAGCTTAGTGTTGGCAGTCAGGAACCAAGAGCTGCATGTCTTGTAAATCCAGTCATTTTCAACAGTCCCTGGGAATTTCTATCTCTGGTTATGTATAAACAATTACTACCACATAGACAGTATTTCATTTTTTCCTTGTTTTCACTGATGAATGATTTTTAAGAGAATTATTAAAATTGAATAGCCCATATTCAGTAAAATCTTGAACAAGTAAGCTCCAATACATCTTTTTACATCCCTTGAAAAAGCTCCATCCCAACATATCTGCCTGGCTACTCAGCTTACCTTGAATCCACTTTGACAGCAGTTTGAGATACATTAGACAGCCTAATCTCTGAGAAAAAATCCTGTTGCTTTCTATTGAAGTCACTGTTGTGATGCTGAAATGGGGCAGTGGCATCTTAAACACCTACCCCGATGTCGTCATTGCACAGCGCTGAACTGGAAGATGAGGCGATCCCACATTGCAGTGGGAAGTTGCTCTGAGCTTTCAGAAGTTGTTGCCACAACACCTGGAGGGAATCTAGGCTGGCACTGCTTTTTGGGGACAGTGGAATCAGAGCAACAGAAACATCAACTCGAGGAGGGATTTAGTAGTGCTTATTTAGGGCAGTGTGACCTGCTGTGGAACACATCCACTGTCCACTGACTTCCACCTGGGAAAGCCCAGTGTTGCAAAGAATTGCTGGGCTGGGGGCATTCAGCGATTAATGCCTCAGGAGTCACTCATGGCTGCTGAGCAGGAGTCAAATCCTGCCACTGTCACTCTGTTTCCACTAGTTTTGTGCCACTTGGAAAACACACTAGAGAAAAAGGAAGGACCAAGCCCCAGCTCCACAAATTGTTCTGCATCTGCCTCCTCTATTCCAAGTTGTCTTCTGGTTTTCTTTCTGCCTCCAGGGAAAAAGGTCCTGATAGTCTATGCACATCAAGAGCCCAAGTCCTTCAACGGATCTCTGTTGAAGATTGCTGTGGAAGAATTGACCGAGCAGGGCTGCAGTGTCACGGTGTCGGATTTATATGCAATGCAGTTTGAGCCAAGAGCAACAAGAAATGACATTGTTGGTGAGACTAGCCAAAATACACCTTTATCAACAATACTAACTTGTAAGCCCCCCTTTAGGTAACAGAAGGCTGACAAAAGTCTCCCTGGAGCCTTCCCCATGCTGAACAACCCAGCTGTCTCAGTCTGTCTGCATAGGAGAGGTGCTCCAGCCCTTGCACCATCAAGAGATTAATAAGAAACTTATTTCATTAATAAGAAACTTATATAGAACCAGACAGCATTTCCAAAAGTCCACTCCTGAACAGGAACTTTGTCTCCCAGTCAGATTACTGAGAGGGAAAAATTCATTAGCACATGTCCACAGTCAGTCTCTGAAGTCTATTTCTCGTGAAGAGGAAAAGTCTTCAGATACCATTCTGTGACTTGCTACCATTTAGTTCACAAGGCTACTGCCTCTGTCTTCTGCTAGAGGCTGATGATCTGCCAGCTGAAGCGACAGAAAAAACCTATATGCTTGATTCAGACATCCTTGAATCAGCTCACCCAATTGCTGTGGGATCAGCAGAGACAGCCAATAGTGGTTCCCCAGCACCTGCCGAGTTTCCCAGTTACAGAGGCTGGAAAGCAGCTCCATCGTGCTTAGGAGTGCATGATGGTCTCAGTAAACCCTAAGGCAGAGGCAGAACAATTAGCACAATTCTCTTAAATCATCCACCTCCATCACCAGAGTCCTGAGCCAAGCTTAGGTTCTCATATTGCACTTGGTATGTTGCTACAGGAAGGTGGAAGTTTAGGACTGAGGCTCTACATTCCTCTCCACTTTAAAATCAAATCACCTTCAGATGTGATGATGCTGAATATCCACCAAAGAAAAGGAAATGGGGAAAATGGAAAGCAGTGACTCCATTTACAGCTGTAGATGGCAACCTGTAGTTAAGTCTTATCTGGCTTGGTGCTGGACACAGGGCAAGGAATGACTTCACTTCTACCCGCAGGTCGCTTGCACAACTCGGAAGCGTTCAATTATGGTGTGGAGACGTGGGAAGCTTACAAGAAGGGAGGTTTGTCCAAAGATCTGGTTGAAGAGCAAAAGAAGGTGCAGGAAGCAGACTTGCTGATTTTTCAGGTCATTATTTTAAATACACTTCAGTTGTGTTGTTCACTTTATCACTTATTTATTAAAAAGAAGCTTCTGAAAGACACCATAAAGTCATTCAAAATTTGCTGCTGACTAAACTGACCACTTGTAGAGACAGTGGTGATTGTCCAGTTTGCACTTTGTTTCCATCTCAAATTAGGCCAAATGTGGTAATGCTTTTAGAGTTTTTCTTCTGTGCTGCAGTGTGTACAAAGGTTTAGTGATAGTGATGCTTCCTAGAAAAACAGTCCATAAAGCGTTCAAGATAATGCAATTAAGACATGATAGCTTTGGGATGTAGTCCCACAGGCTAACTGGAAGATCTATACACTAAGGGTCCAAGTGTTAAAGTAGTAGTTTTCTTCTCAATAAAGAGATTTGGAGTCATGATATCAGCAGGGTGTGAAAGTAAGTCTGTCTTAAGATCCCCCAGCATTTTTCAGCAGATTGTCAGATCAGCACTGGTCACCTGATGTCAGTCCTGCTAATAAGGCATTAGATCATCTGTTGCTTTTGCATTTCACACATAGGATTCTGTACAGTGATTCTGTACAGTCTTAAGTTTGAATGAAATGGCACCTTCCTGATTCATCATTTTCCAACTTTAATCTGGGTGGAAGCTCTCACATGCACCCTAGTGTTAGTGTGCTGTAGATGCTCAGGTGTGGCCCCGAGACTCCTACAATCAGAAAGCACTTCAGGTCCTGTTGCCAAGCACAGTTACTGCCTCTCCTGACAGAGAGCTGGAAGAAGGCAGGTACAAGATCTGAACAGACTCAGAGAATAGGATTTGGCCTGTGAACCAGGTCTAAGGGTGGTCCAGACTCTCTGTGCTAACCAGGTAATTTCCTCTTTGCCTAGTTTCCCTTGTTTTGGTTCAGCATGCCTGCAATCCTGAAGGGCTGGATGGACAGAGTCTTGGTCCAAGGCTTTGCTTATGATTTGTCCAAGTGTTATGATGGCGGTTTGCTCCAGGTATGTTTTTGAGATTATTAAGGTCAAGGTTTGCACAATGTTCTTCTGGGCAATGGTCCTTAGTTTCCATTGCAGTTGTTTAAAGCTCTGACTTTTCGCTATCTTGAAATAATGCATCAGCCTTGCTTCACACAAGGGTGTCAGACATGTAATTCTTTTTTTATTTTAACCTGTCTCTTCTCAAAGGCCAGACACAAAGTCAACTGTCTAGTTGTATGTCACCAATCTTGCCTCAGAACTGCCAATTCTTGTAAGGTCTGGGAGAGAAGCAGACCTTCTCTTCTAGAAATATATGCTGTCCTGGTTTCCCTGAATATCTCTTGAATTGTTCAGCTACTCTTCTTTAAACGTGCCTAACTGAATCACCACTTTTTAATTCTAGGACAAATTATCCCTGTTTTCTTTCACCACTGGAGGAACCAAAGAAATGTATTCAAATGGAGGTATCGGTGGTGATATTCGCTATGTTCTGTGGCCCATGCAGGTATAATGTATGAATATTTCATTGTTGTATATCTCAATATTTATTGTCCAAATTATTTTTAGCAATTCCTATATTGTTTATTTTATATGAAGTATAATAAGAAATTAATAAGTTGCCCACTCCAAGCATCTGCAGGTTATAAACTGGGCCCTAAAATCTCAAGACTACTTTAAAAGCCCAGTAAGGTTTAAAGCTGTTTTGTGCCCCTTCTTCCAGATTAGAATTTGGAGACAGCTTATGCTGTCAGCCTTTTCAGTTTCTCTGATATTATAGGATTTCCTTTATCTCCAGGGTGTGGGATTTCTGTTCCCCAAGGTTACCTGATGTAGGATGCAGGGCAGGAGGGGAGTCACCCATGATCTCCTACCCCTTGCAATTACCAGATGCCTGCCCCTGAGGAGCTGTCCAGCTCCAGAGCTCGCAAATAAAGGTGACAAAAACATGAAGCACGACACTGAATTCAGAAATACGCAGAGGGAAAATGGCAAGCTGAGTTGATTCCACAGGCAGTAGCCTTCATTCAGAGGGAAAAGGTTAAAAAAAAATCCAAAACCCCAGTTTGGAAGTAGATGTGAAAGACACTGCAGTTCAGGAACAATCAGAGGAAGTTCAACCAGGACAATGAACGTTAGGCTGTCTCTGATCCTTGCACATTGAAGAGAGTACAGCAGCCAAAGAGAAGAGTTCTGTTGGTGTAAAAGCAATTCATTTCCCTTCCCTGATAAATGCACACATTTACAGAACCTGCCAGATCCTGGGTCAGACAAACAGGTTCAGATTTGAATCATGCATGTTCTTCAATCGAAAGAATTAACTATTTCCTGAAGCATTTCTTTCTTTGTTTTGCATCCAGCATGGAATCATGCACTTCTGTGGTGTCAAAGTCCTTGAACCTCACATCTGTTATGCTCCAGAGAATGTCTCTGAGGAGAAGAGGAAGGAGATGCTGACTGCCTGGACCCAGCGTCTGAAGACTCTTTGGAAGGAAGAACCCATCAACTGCTCTCCTGAGTGGTATTTCAAGTAGTGTTCAGGTACAAGACTACAGAGAGAAGATCGTTTTTCTTCATTCTTTTAGATGCTCTATCTAAATACCTGAATGCTAATCTCCTAATTCAAATGTCTTTTAAGAATCTGGAAGACAGCAGCTAGCAGCTTAACTGAAAATACAGCATTTATCTTCATTGATTCCTGAGGGATTCTCATTAAGGATGGGTGCAGCTGGAAAGCCTTGTGGGTAGCCTTGTGCTTTTCCACATATTCACAAAGCAATGTTAAAGCTACAACACCTACCAAAAAAGGGGGAAAACAAATACAAATATTGTACAGTGGTATGTGCATGAATTGCCTTCCTTTGTAGACTCCACCTCCCATTGATAAACTAAGTAGCTTCCTAAAATCAAAGGGACCTCTCTATTTTGGTTGCCCTCAGGGGAGACAAAAAGGAATCCTGGGTGCTTCCTGCCCCTTCACACCAGTCACGGTTGGTGTTTGGGTCTGGAGGGCATTTGCATCCCCTCCACCATCAGAGTCAATGGGCTTCCTTGGAGATCTCCAGCACTGGCAGCTGGCAAGGCAGGATGCCGACCTGAAAACCTGCAGGAGCCCTGTCTGTCTATGGGTCAGGATCTGGTGGGACAAAAGGACTGTCTGGCTCTTAACATCCGTGATTTTTACCTTGAATTGTAGCAGGAGTATTTTTGAGAGCTGTTAACCCTGTTGGTTCATATGGCAAGGGGCAGGTTTCTCACTTAGCTACCCGACTTCTTGCTTTGACCAGCTCACCTAACAGCTGGCTTTGCACTCTGGTATTAAAAGAAAGTGGCCCAAATAAGGAACTGTCTCCTGAGTCACTGCCAAATGGCGCTTAGGCCTCTGCATACAGCATGTGCATCTGCCATACCTTCTTTGTGCCAGTCTTGTCACACCCCAGCCTCACAGTTCTTTAAGGGCTATTTGGATAATAAACATGCTGAGCCCAGACTCTGCACTGACAGTGTAAGCTGATACACCACACCGGGAAGTGCTACCGCAGGGAAAGAGTCACATGTTCCTGTTCCATCTTCTTCCGTCTCTGCCACCTCCTGCAGAGACATTCCCTGGGAAGCAGTGCTGCCCAAAGCTGTTGTACGTGTCTACTTCAGAGTGTGTGAGACAAAGTCTTTAGGTTACCCAAGCAGGAAATTTGCTTTGGCTCAATAGCTCTGTTACAGGAATAGGAAAGTGAAAGTTATTAAGGGGGAAAGTGTTATACATCTGAGTTGTGGAGAAAGCAGATTCATGCCAGAAGACTTAAGGTAAACAACTTACCTGATGAGAAAGTGGAGGACAAATTCAAATATTGAAATTGCATAGGAGAGGAATCATCCTCATGTTCACAGTGTACAGTTACCAGACTGTTCAAGAAACAAGGAAATTGAAGTGAAAGCAAAAGTTGCAAGTGTCAAACCCAATATTACTGCTTTGGATCAATTGCAGAGCTTAGTGGGTTTAACTGTTAGATAAAGAATCTAATATAGACTGACCTGTATATTGAGGATACACTTCTTGACACTATTTGGTAGATACATGCTAGATCCCAAACACTTGGTAGCGTTAGGCGCTTGTATTAGCCTGGATATATGTAATCTAAGTATCCACGGTGGCTGTGCTAGGTCAGAACAAGGATCCTGCAGCCCTGAGTTTTTTCTCCACAGTGGTTATAGGCCAGGAATAGCAAGCACTTCCCATGAATACTGACCTGGGTGCTAACTACATTTAGTTTGGGGGATTTCCTGAGGTACATACATTTTCTCTATATTTACAAAGCCAAATAATATATCTCTGTTCTGAATTTTGTTTAGCATTCTCTTGAATTCATGTCAACTTCAAGCAGCCAATATATTTTGGCAAAGTTCAGCAGGTGAGTTTTTCCTTGCATGAAGCACTGGAGTGGGGAGGAGGCCCTGGGAGGGTGAAGCACCTGGTTCCCAGTAGCTTTGTTTGGTTCTTCCCAGTCAACAGTAATGATCAGTCCCATCTGTTCTTTTACACACTGCTCAGAGTTTTGTACATGTGCATCACCTCCACTCCTAAATAATCTCCTTCCCAGGCCAAGGAGTCCTGTCCTTCTCAGTTGTTCTTCTAAGAGAAGTCATTGCCTTTGGTCACCCTTGTTGTTCTTCTCTAAACACCTCCAGTCTCACTATCCCATTACTGAGAAGAGGGGACCAGAGGTACATGCAGAGTCAACTCTATGACTTTCTTTGTTCCTTTTATAATCATCTCTGAAACATGGTTTGCTTTAGCTAATGTTTCCATCTCTTGTAACTCTACAATTTGGCCATCAGTGGTAATGATCAGCTCAAGGCCCATTATTTTATACATCAATTTAGGGTAAATTTTTTTCTCATGTGTACCCCTTTAATAACCTGAACTTCACTTTCTGTCTCATTGCCCACTCAATCATTATTCCAGAGCCCTTCAAAATCTTTTTCTCTTCAGATCTCTTCAGAAAACTCAGTAAAGGTGACAGAAGACCCTACAGTTTTTCCAGTAATGCAATGAAACCTGCAAGTTTCATCCTGCTGGCAATAAAATCAGCTATATGTCAAACACCTGGGGTTTTTTTGAGCATTTTATGTATTTATATTTTCTTTACTATAAGTTTTAATAAGATGGCTGAGATTTTTAGTACAAAGTATGTAAAAGTTTTGTTGAGATTAGTGCAAGTTTCAGTTAAAGTAAAAAGAGAACTAATGGCCTTATTTAATTTTCATTAATACTAAAATTGAAGACTTCTGCTCATGTAAATGCATTATTGTGAAAAGCACTAAAAAAGTATTGACCTTATTGTCCATTTCAAGATAACCTTCCTTTCTTCTCAATCAGAATTAAGAGATTTCTCTGTAAATTCAGATTGCATTTCTGGGTCAGTTTATTTTCCCTATTCATTTAAAGAGAGAATGTCATAACTGGCAGCACTGACCTCTAAACACCAGCAAATAAATGCCAATTTGTCTTTTTTTGCCTCATTTTGCTGCTTGGCAAAACACCACTGAATGAAAATGCAAACTCTTTAACCACATGATTCTTAAGAATTCAGCCATCTTTCTCCCTGCCTTCAGCCCATACCTTCAGCCCCATACACAATGCAAAGCTCAAAAGCAGAAAAACCAAGCGAAACCAAATCAAGAAAAAAAACCCTCAGAAGTTAAATGTTATCAAAAGATTTCTGTAATGTTTGGGATTGCAAAAGACCAAAGCTGCACGATTGGCCCACCAGAGATACCACATCCATATTTGCATTTGCTTTATTTAGCTGACAAATGTCCCAGTGTCTCTGGACTGCAGGTTCAGTAACACTGTCCTTGTGATACCTCAGTGTGAATGTACATGAAATGGCTGTATACAAACTGCAATGAGCTTAGTTTGGCAATCTGGGATTCCATCCCGATCTCCTCATTACAGTAGGTGTGATCAGCCCTTGCATTTGGAGCTGTCAGAGCATTAAACTCCTGTCTCAATAGCAGCTGATCAAGAATCAGTGGAAAACAAGGCATGCGCCAGTTCCACTGCCAACTTTTTTTTTCTTTTTGAGGGGAAACAATTGCACTCAGCTTTTTTTTTTTTTTTTGGAGAGATCTTGAATAGAAGCCATTTATTAAGTTTGTCCAACACAGTGCAGTCTCGATACTGAGAGAGAAAACTTCATCTTGAAAGTGATCACCAAGGTTATTTTACCTCTCCAAAACCACAGCTGCCCACATCCAACTGTGTCCTTTCTGTCTTTCCAAAAAGACACATTTCAGGAAGCTGACAGGCAGGAGTCCCCTGCCCCTGGCAGATGCATGTGCTGGCCACCAGAAAACAAAAAACAGACCATGTCTTCTCCTAGAAGAGCAGATGGGGGTACATGGATGGTTTAGGAGTTCAGATACTACATTGCTGACCATCACAGGGAGAAATGAAGGACACAATTTGTGGGCTGCTATCACTGTCCCAGACTGATGTGCTGTTTTTCTGGTAGTGCCTGGTAATACTGAGCCGTGAACTCCACTGCAAAGTACAGTGGGGAGCGTAACAGCTGCCCACAATGGGAAAGATCACGGCAAAGAGGGTAGACACTTATCATCACCTTCATTTCACTGGAAGAATAGCAAAGCCATCGGTCTTATGTAAAGCACCTGTGTTAGCAACATACCCGACCTCCCGAGGAGAATGGACTAGACGGTATTTGTCGGTCCTTTTAGGTTATCTATTTCCGCCAGCTGTCCCCCGGACTGGCACGTGTTACAGTTACCCTGTTGACAAACTCCTGCCTCCACTCTTCCCGAACAAACCCTCCCCCACACATCTTCAGCACCAAATCCTCAACACCGAAAGGCGTTTCCGACACGCACCCAGCTGCTGTCGGGCTCGGTACCGTGGCCAGGTTGTCACCATTCACAGTGCGCACCGGGCTCACCCAGGCGGCGGCGCTAGGACGGGCAGGGCTCCCGCCCTTCTCTCCCGGTGGGAGGGCGCGCGTTGCGTCGCACGGACCGAGTGACTGCACAGCATCCGGAGCAGCGGCAGCTCCGCCGTGCCCTCGGGCGAGCCCAGGCACCTCCCGTGCTCCGAGAAGGCGCGGGCCGGGTCGGGCCCCCCTCCCGCTGCCGCGGGGGCCGGGGCGCTCCGCAGGGGGCGGCGAGGCCGGAGCCCGCTGCCGGGCCGCTCCGGGGAAGGCGGCAGGACGAGGAGACTGGCGCACCCCGCGGTAAGGCACGGTGGCCGGGAACGGGACAACGCCGGAACCGAAAAGCACCGCGCGCGACACCGGCGCGCGGTGCCGGGGGCCTGCGGGGGTGCCGGGCCCCGAGGAGAGGTGGCCCGGCGGGGCTGCGGCGCTACATCCCGCCCTGCCGAGGAGGGTCGCCCGGGCACGGGGGAACGGGAAGCGGCGGGCGGGGGAGCGGTGCGTGCGAGGAGAGGCGGCCGCGGCTGCAGGAAGCCGCGGGAGGAGGAGGAGAAGGGCGACAAGGCAAGTCGGCCAACGAGGAACTAGGCCGGAGGAGCCCCGCATTAAGGCTTCCCGGCCCTGCGGCGAGCGGATCTTTCGGCCCTCGCCGCCCGAGGCCAGGCCCGGCCCGGCTGCCGGCGCCTGTCTCTGACAGCCACGGCCCTACGAGGTGCCGTTGTCCAGACAGCCTGTTCCCACTCCCTTGCGAGAACGGCCACTGCACAGACCCCGCCCTTCTCCCCTTCCATGCTCCCTCTGCTCTGCTCCTAATATAACATGTTTTGTCACACCTTTGCTTCCCTTGTCTTGGCTCCTCCTCCCCTTTATGTAACGTACTCATGATCTTGACACAAGTATTTTCTTTGCTATTTCCGAAGGGGGAAAAAAAAAGAAAAAGTCATTCCTCAGTGAAAAGATGAGCTGAAACACCTGAGTGGAAGGGAAAGGTTTAGATGGAACTGGTTATGAAAGTTGCAGCAGTAGAGTTGAGATGCCCTGACAGCTTTTGAAACATCTTTCACACATGCAGTCTTTTCTTCAGCTGTAGCAACTCTTCCATTTATCTCCTGGTACCCATACTGGAGATACTTGTTTTGCCTCCTGTTTTTTATTCCCTTGTGTTACTGATAACTAAGTGGCCTTGAGTTTTGACGCCTGAAAACACATTCATTTCCTCCAATTATACTTTGTAACACCTCTCAAGAATTTATGTGCTGAGAGCATCGTTAGACCACAAAGGCTGCAATCAGCGTGTCACCATTTTTCATATTACTGCGCTAATGTGCACAGCAATCCTCCTTAACTACACAGGCCATGTCAGATCTGCATCAGATCAGTAACAAATCAATAGAACCAAGCAAACTGCTTCTGAATGGTGGTCAGGCCTGATATGACCTAATGACCAGCTCATGACTCTAGGGAACTTCTGTGCCCCTTAGGGGCTAGAGGAGAGGACATAACCATGATGTTACAAAGAAAAATGCCACAAACATACTTATTACACTCCTATCCCTCTCTAAATAACACCAGTCATACTGGTCGGCAAAAATTCCTCTCTTCTAGCAACGAGTGTTCAGAATTTTCATAACACAGATTGGCATGCGGTAAATATGAACCCATTGTAATACAGATGTTCAGAATAGTATATTTTAAAAATTGCTTTATAATCAATCAAGTATTTTGGGCTACCTCATAGAACACAAATTAACCCCTGGAAGTATGTGTAGCTTCTGTAAGGGTAAGCAAAATCAAACTGCAAAATTTCTGTTCTCTTAATCACAGATACTTAATGTATGCATTGGTATATCCTAAGTACTGAGGATACACATAAATTACCCTGTATCTCAATAAAAAGAAGTAAGATTGGAATGAACTTGAGTCTTTGAGCTTCCTGCCTTGATTCTTTTGTCACCTGACATTTCAAGGTAGCATAAACCAGTATCTCATGTTAAATAGTATACTGGAATAAGTAATCTTTGCTTTAAAGCCTGGCTAGAGATTGCTTTCCTGTGATACTCAGTCTACAAAAAAACTTTGGTTTTGAAATAAGTCATTAGGTCAGAGAGCTTCTATTCAGAGTACCTCATTACTTAATAACAACAACAAAAACAGTAATAGCATCCCAGCATACCCAAGGAGGAGGGTTCCCTCCCATCTTGAATGTTATCCAGATCATTTCAGCAGATAGCTTATGATTTCAGGAGTTATTACTTCTTTTGAATTTCCAAGACTTCTAGTTACAGTTATATGCTGCTTGGTAGGAACAGGTATTCACAATGTAAATAGGATCAAGGTTTTTTATTGTTGCACTTTGAGGCAGAGCTGGTTTTTTGTCAGGTATGGAATGGCAGCCCCAAGCTATCAGTGGTATTAGTGCAAGTCTAGAGATTCACCATTCAAAAATACACATCTACTTTGCATTTACAAGAAAAGTGCATACAAATTCTTACAGGAATAACTACTACCTAGGTGCATAAAATTACTGTTAGCTCGGAAAAATTAACGTAGATACGTGGCTTCAAATAATTTCTTGAGAGGAGACTCCAGATAAAGAAGCAAAATGTTAGTTTATGCCACATTAAAGTCTCGTGACTGAATTCAGGCCTTTGTACCTGTTACATCCACCCCATCTGCACAAAAGTCAGGAGCACCACCCCAAGAAATCTAGAGAACCATCACCCGAAACTTCCAGGGACACAAAAGCTCACCTGTGAGAGAAGCAGCTTGGCACTGCTATGAGTCGTTTGCTATTCTGCTATTTGATTAATTGTAAAGGAATTTAAAAAATAATAAAACAACCCAACAAACAAAACACAACAACAATCTCCTCTAACAATTATTATGCATAGCAGAGCTTACCTTCTTACTAAATGAATGCAGTCATGTCCTCAGTCCTGTATTCATAATGCAGGCTAGCACTCCAGTAAAACAAAATCTGCATCCTTTTGAAGTCAGGGAAGCCAAAGAAAACCCTGAAGACAGCACATGGCTCAGATGTATAGAGATTGTTCTCTATCTGTACTGCAACAGCCCATAGAGCCTGTATATGTACTTGGAAGAGGAAGCTCTTGCTTTATTCTTCTACAGGCACAACTTTTTTTTTCTTAATTAAATTCAGTCTTCCCTGTTTTGGCTTGTCAATATTGAACTGATCAGACAATTTCCAACTCTGCACTAAAACACATCTCTTCCTGCAGATACCTACTTTCCCCACTCACTTTCACTAACTCCTTAGTTCCTAAGCTCCAGAAAGAGGCTGTGGTAATTGGGCAGCTGTAATTAGGCTGCAGCTGATGTTCACAACAACATTAAGCAATCTTTTCAATTAGAGATTTGATGATACAGGTGCACAGTAGTTTACAGGAGTTAGCAGTCATTAGTTGGTCTGAAAAATTTGGGAATCCCTTTGCTACACTATTTAGAGCTCTTAGTTACCCAAACAAGCCAATCTACTGATAGTGGCACTTTGAAATGGTGCCTTTCTCCCACCTCTGTATATCTGTGTCGTAATTACCCAAGAGGAATGGAAACTGA